GGTCGTATTGCCAGGACCGGCCTGAGGAGTGGTCAAGGTACCTTCCCTGGGCCGAGATGGCCCAGAACTCTCTCCGCCACTCCTCTACCAACCTAACCCCCTTCCAATGTGTATTAGGTTACCAGCCGGTTCTGGCACCGTGGCAGCAGAGCCAGATCGAGGCCCCTGCGGTGGATGATTGGATGAGGCGCTCGGAAGAGACGTGGAACGCTGCCCACGTCCACCTGCAGCGGGCCGTCCTTCGTCACAAGGTGAGCGCCGATCTCCACCGCAGTGAGGGGCCGGTGTACGCACCCGGAGATCGAGTCTGGCTCTCTACCAGAAACCTACCCCTCCGCCTGCCCTGCCGGAAGCTGGGTCGGGGCCCTTTAAAGTCCTGAGAAGATTGAACGAGGTGTGTTATAGGTTACATCTACCTGTTGAGTATAAGAATATTAACCCCTCGTTCCATGTGTCTCTTCTCAGGCCGGTAGTAGCTGGTCCACTCCAGGACAATGAGATAGGAGAGACTCCTCCGCCCCCACTGGACATCGAGGGGGCTCCGGCGTACACCGTTCGGTCCATCTTGGACTCCAGACGCCGGATGGGGGGTCTCCAGTATCTCGTGGAGTGGGAGGGGTACGGCCCGGAGGAGCGGTGCTGGGTGCCGCGGAGGGACATCCTAGACCCATCTCTCCTGTCGGAGTTCCACCGGGACCATCCCGCGCGCCCTGCTCCGCGTCCTCCTGGTCGTCCCCGAGGCCGGGGTCGGCGCACGGCTGGAGCCGCGCGTCAAGGGGGGGGGGGGTACTGTCACGGTTTCGGCCGAGGCTGCTCCTCCTCCTGGTTCGGGCAGGCTTCGGCGGTCGTCGTCCCCGGAGTACTAGCTGCCACCGATCTATGTTTCATGTTCGTTTGGTTTTGTCTTGATGTTGTACACCTGTGTCTTGTTAGTCCTCGTTAGTGTCCTATTTAGTTATCGTTGGTTGTGTTTGTCTTTGTGTGTGATTGCTCTTCTGTTTCGTGTTGGAGCTACTTATTTCCCTCCAGTGTTTTTGGAGAGGTTATTTTTGCACATGTTAGTGCGCCGTTTATTTGACGCCTGTGTGCGCCGTGTATTCACCTTCGGGCTTATTGTGCTTATTTCTTTTCGTGAATTTGCACTAAAGTCTTTTGGACTGAGCCTCTGCGTCCTGCGCCTGATTCATACACCACACCCACCTTCAGCACCCATTGACAACCTGTAACTTCTTCTTTAAGAGGCTCCTCTGTCCTCCACTCGTTACCTGTATTAATGGCACCTGTTTGAACTTGTTATCAGTATAAAAGACACCTGTCCACAACCTCAAACAGTCACACTCCAAACTCCACTATGGCCAAGACCAAAGAGCTGTCAAAGGACACCAGAAACAAAATTGTAGACCTGCACCAGGCTGGGAAGACTGAATCTGCAATAGGTAAGCAGCTTGGTTTGAAGAAATCAACTGTGGGAGCAATTATTAGGAAATGGAAGACATACAAGACCACTGATAATCTCCCTCGATCTGGGGCTCCACGCAAGATCTCACCCCGTGGGGTCAAAATGATCACAAGGGGGGACCTAGTGAATGACCTGCAGAGAGCTGGGACCAAAGTAACAAAGCCTACCATCAGTAACACACTACGCCGCCAGGGACTCAAATCCTGCAGTGCCAGACGTGCCCCCCTGCTTAAGCCAGTACATGTCCAGGCCCGTCTGAAGTTTGCTAGAGTGCATTTGGATGATCCAGAAGAGGATTGGGAGAATGTCATATGGTCAGATGAAACCAAAATAGAACTTTTTGGTAAAAACTCAACTCGTTGTGTTTGGAGGACAAAGAATGCTGAGTTGCATCCAAAGAACACCATACCTACTGTGAAGCATGGGGGTGGAAACATCATGCTTTGGGGCTGTTTTTCTGCAAAGGGACCAGGACGACTGATCCGTGTAGAGGAAAGAATGAATGGGGCCATGTATCGTGAGATTTTGAGTGAAAACCTCCTTCCATCAGCAAGGGCATTGAAGATGAAACGTGGCTGGGTCTTTCAGCATGACAATGATCCCAAACACACCGCCCGGGCAACGAAGGAGTGGCTTCGTAAGAAGCATTTCAAGGTCCTGGAGTGGCCTAGCCAGTCTCCAGATCTCAACCCCATAGAAAATCTTTGGAGGGAGTTGAAAGTCTGTGTTGCCCAGCGACAGCCCCAAAACATCACTGCTCTAGAGGAGATCTGCATGGAGGAATGGGCCAAAATACCAGCAACAGTGTGTGAAAACCTTGTGAAGACTTACAGAAAACGTTTGACCTGTGTCATTGCCAACAAAGGGTATATAACAAAGTATTGAGAAACTTTTGTTATTGACCAAATACTTATTTTCCACCATAATTTGCAAATAAATTCATTAAAAATCCTACAATGTGATTTTCTGGATTTTTTTTCTCATTTTGTCTGTCATAGTTGACGTGTACCTATGATGAAAATTACAGGCCTCTCTCATCTTTTTAAGTGGGAGAACTTGCACAATTGGTGGCTGACTAAATACTTTTTTTCCCCACTGTAATATGATTTTCAGGTTTTTTGGACCATTTTGAATGATGTTGACTACTTTAAACGTCTTCTTCTTCAGGACCGCTGGACCGTTCAGCACCAAATTTGGCACATATCATCTATGTACCCATGTTTTTAAACGCAACATTTTCCAGGACTAGCTCGAACAATACCATCTCACAGGAATTTGCATTGGAATTTTTCCTTACGGAAGAAGAGGAATAATAATAAATGCCAACAAATACAACAGGTTTCACCAGCTTCGCTGCTGAACCCCTAATAAATAACACCAGGGGTATCCTTTGGGTGCTATAATTCACAGTTTTTGATAAAATATTTTTGATCAGAACTCCAGTCCGCCCACGCTCAACCATCGTAAATCGTGGAGTTGAATTTAGTCAGCTCGTTCTGCACAAAACTAAACCAGTCAGTAACACCAGCAACCATCCAGCTCAATCCCACCAGATATTTCTACTATAAAATACAGTTTAATACTGTAATTGAAACAGGTTGACATTTAAAGCATTTCAAGGATCTGCAGCATTTACTTTGAATGCAATCTTCGCGACAGGAGTAACATTGCCTTTAAATGAATAAGTCCCCTGTAGCTCAGTTGGTAGAGCATGGCGCTTGCAATGCCAGGGTTGTGGGTTCGTTTCCCACGGGCGGCCAGTATGAAAAATGTATGCACTCACTAACTGTAAGTCGCTCTGGATAAGAGCGTCTGCTAAATGACTAAAATGTAAATGTAAATGGTGAATAGCCAAAAAGGGGTGATTGAATCCTGGCCTAAGTAAATATGTTTTCTATTGCGACTTTTATTTAGAAAATTCCATTCCACTGATGTCATGAATGGTTTCATAAAGGTCTCATGCATGTCAATCTATAATCAAGTAAAGTGAACCACACTTCACCAAACTATGTCTCCATGTATGAGTATGCAGTTACTTTGGTGTGTGTGTGTGTGTACATTTCAATGTGTGCTTGTGAGTGGGTCTTTACATTCACCGGCCAATATATTTAGGTACACCCATCTAATACCAGGTTGGACCTCACTTTGCCTCCAGAACAACCTGATTCTTCTCTTCAGGGAATTCTACAAGATGTAGGAAACGTTCCACAGGGATGTTGGTCCATGCTGACGCGTTGGCATCACGCAGTTGCTGCAGATTGGACGGCGGTACATTCATGCTGCGAACAGCCCGTTCCATGTCATCCCAACGATGCTCTATTGGGTTGAGGTCTGGGGACTGCGCAGGCCACTCAAGTCAACTGAACTCGCTGTCATGTCCCAGGCAATGTTTTTCCACTCCTCAATTGTCCAGTGTTGGTGATCGCGTGCCCACTGGAGCCGCTTCTTCTTGTTTTTAGCTGACAGGAGTCTGCTGCAATAGCCCATCTGTGACAAGGATCAACAAGTTGTGCGTTCCGAGACACCATTCTGAACACCGTTGTACTACGGCGTTATTTGTCTGTTTGTGGCCCGCCTGTTAGCTTGCACTATTCTTGCCATTTTCCTTCGACCTCTCTCTTCAACAAGCTGTTTTCGCCCACAGGACTTCCACTGTGGGAATGTTTTTTGTTTGTCACACCATTCTCAGTAAACCCTTGACACTGTCGTGCGTGAAAAGCCCCGGAGGGCGGCCGTTTCTGAAATACTGGATCCGGTGCACCTGGCACCGATGATCATACCACGCTCAAAGTCACTTAGGTCACTTGTTTTGCCCCTTCTAACATTCAATCGAACAGTAACTAAATGGCTCGATGCCTGTCTGCCTGCTTTATATAGCAAGCCACGTGACTCACTGTCTGTAGGAGCGATCCATTTTCGAGAACGGTGTACCTAATAAACTGGCCGGTGAGTTTATAAGTATTTAGTTACTTTGGTGTGTGTGTGAATGAATTTGTTGTACTTTTTTGTGTGTGTCTACGACTGTGCATGTGTGTACATTTCAATGTGTGCTTGTGAGTGTTCCTGTATGATGTGCATGACTTTGTTTGTGTTGTAATTGTCAGTGGGTGGTGGTAGGTGCATCAAATTGAGGAAAGTAGTACATAAAAACATTGATTTTGGTATGTTATTACATGATTGGTTGAAGTTATTACATTATTCATCAAAAAAGTTGTTACTCACCAGTTAATGTAATAACTTATTACATTTAGCGGAAAATTTTATTACGTTAACCATTCAACATTTTATTACGTTAACCGGCAAGTTATTACATTAACCGGTTTTATTACATACAAAATCTAAAAGTTATTACAAATAGAAAAGTTATTACATTAACCGGTGTATTATATTAATCGTTGTTACAGAGCTGGATTGGATATTTTCTGTTCACATTGTCCTTTACAACATGTTTCCAGCAACTATTATAGTGGATGTGTAACCAGGCTAGTGCAGTACAGCTTGGCTCAGTAGTGTAAAAAAAAGTACTAGACTGTTAATGGACTCACCTGATAACAATGCATTGGTTTCGGGGTCCTGTGGCCAACCTTCCCAGCATGGACTGGTAGGCCCTGTCTGCCACAGCGAATATATGAGGAGGTAGCTTGCTCTTCTCATGGTACTTATACCTCTCTGACACCTGCACAGATACAAGGAGGAACATCTTTAAAGCCATTGTCTACAAACAGCTTAGTAGATTTTATTTAAAGATTACTGGTCAGTTATGTCGCTTAAGTTAATAAGGCAAGCATAAGTGCTAAAGCCTCAATATTGGTGGAGCTATTCAAAAGTCCCAAAAGCAATTGCAGGTTCAGTGTCTAGTCCTATTCCAAGAAAATAAGTTATATTCTGGGTTGAAGTGCCTGTATTAATTTCAATATGCCAGCTTGAATTTTTGCCAGGTCATAGTGAGTCACAGGATAGCTAGGGCAGCTTTTAGGAGAAAGTCTGCCAGCACAGGTGGATGCTTATTGGTCTTGTGGGAGTACTTACCTCTTTCACATACAGAGGGAGGTATTTAAATGGATTTATGGCCACCAAGATGTCCCCAATGTAGGTCTTGTAGAGATAGGCGGGAGGAGGGAGAGTGAAAGAGGGAGAGAGTATACCAGGTTACTGGCCCAACACTTTAACCGCTAGGCTACCTGCCGCCCAATTAATGTGTACTGTACTGTATTTTCAAAGACAAACACCACTCCAGTGTCACTGCATAGAGTCAATGTCACTGACTCTACGCACACACACTGGACTCTACCCACACACTCACACATACTTACACTGACACTCCAACACATACACACACACACACACACACACACACACACACAGGCACACACACACTTACACACTTTCACACTCATCACATATGCTGCTGCTACTGTCTATCTATCCTGTTGCCTAGTCACTTCACCCCTACCTACAGTATATGTACATATCTACCTCAATTTCCTCGTACCCCTGTACATCGACTTGGTACTGGTACCCCATGTACAGTGCATTCGGAAAGTATTCAGACCCCTTGACTTTTTCCACATTTTGTTACGTTACAGCCTTATTCTAAAATGGATTAAATCGTTTTTTTTCCCCTCATCAATCTACAGACAATACCCCATAATGACAAAGCAAAAACAGTTTTTTTTTACATTTTTGCAAATGTATACAAAATAAAAAACTGAAATTTACTTTTATAAGTATTCAAACCCTTTACTCAGTACTTTGTTGAAGCAGCTTTGGCAGCGATTACAGCCTCGAGTCTTCTTGGGTATGACGCTACAATCTTGGCACACTTGTATTTGGGGAGTTTCTCCCATTCTTCTCTGCAGATCCTCTCAAGCTCTGTCAGGTTGGATATGGAGCGTCTCTGCACAGCTATTTTCAAGTCTCTCTAGAGATGTTCGATCGGGTTCAATTCGGGGCTCTGGCTGGGCCACTCAAGGACATTCGGAGACGTGTCCCGAAGCCACTCCTGCGTTGTCTTGGCTGTGTGCTTAGGGCCGTTGTCCTGTTGGAAGGTGAACCTTCGCCCCATTCTGAGGTCCTGAGCGATCTAGAGCAGGTTTTAATCAAGGATCTCTCTGTACTTTGCTCCGTCGATCCCGACTAGTCTCCCAGTCCCTGCTGCTGAAAAACATCCCCACAGCATGATGCTGTCGCCACCATGCTTCACCGTAGGGATGGTGCCAGGTTTCTTCCAGACGTGACGCTTGGCATTCAGGCCAAAGAGATCAATCTTGGTTTCATCAGACCAAAGAACCTTGTTTCTGAGTCCTTTAGGTGCCTTTTGGTAAACTTCAAGCGGGCTGTCATGTGCCTTTAACTGAGGAGTGGCTTCCGTCTGGCCACTCTACCATAAAGGCCGGATTGGTGGAGTGCTGCAGAGATGGTTGTCCTTCTGGAAGGTTCTCTCATCTCCACAGAGGAACTCTGGAGCTCTGTCAGAGTGACCATCAGGTTCTTGGTCACCTCCCTGACTAAGGCGCTTCTCCCCTGATTGCTCTGTTTGGCCGGGCGGCCAGCTCTAGGAAGAGTCTTGGTGGTTCCAAACTTCTTCCATTGAAGAATGATGGAGGCCACTGTGTTCTTGGGGACCTTCAATGCTGCAGATCTGATCCTCGACACGATCCTGTCTCTGCACTCAACGGACAATTCCTTCAACCTCATGGCTTGGTTTTTGCTCTGACATGCACTGTCAACTGTAGGACCTTATAGACAGTTGTGTGCCTTTCCAAATCATGTCCAATCAATTTAACTTACCACAGGTGGACTCCAATCAAGCTGTAGAAACATTTCAAGGATGATCAATGGAAACAGGATGCACCTGAGCTCAATTTCGAGTCTCATAGCAAAGGGTCTGAATACTTACGTAAACAAGGTATTTCTGTTTATTATTTTTAATACATTTGCAGAAATTTCTAAAACCTGTTTTCACTTTGCCATTATGGGGTATTGTGTATAGATTGATGAGGATTTGTTTTAATTTAATAAATGTTAAATAAGGCTGTAACTTCACAAAATGTGGAAAAAGTCAAGGTGCCTGAATACTTTCCGAATGCAATGTATATAGCCAAGCTATCATATCTCATTGTATATTTATTCCTTGTGTTACTATTATTATTTGTATTATTTTATTTTTTGTATTCTGCATTGTTGGGAAGGGCCTGTAAGTCAGCATTTCACTGTTAGTCTACACCGGTTGTTTACGAAGCATCTGACAATTACAATTTTATTTGACAAAGGTTTTTGTTCTGACAGCCAACAATGGCATGAATTCAAATGACATGTTGATATATGACTGAATATTTGTGTTGTTCATAGATCCCAATCTTTCAACATTGTTGAGTTTACTGCCTGTCAAGTAATAAAATAAATTGAAACAGATTTAGATAATCCATTTTATCTGTCAGTGTGTTGAGGAATTTGATTGGTTGGGATATGTTGCAGATTAGGCTACATGAAACACCAGGAACTTTTACAGTGCAGATGTGTGTGTACACATGGGTGACATGGTAGAATGGGATTAAAGGCTGACTGCTGAGGCTGACACAGTCTGAAATCACATTAACCTCTACGGAATCGGTGTCCCGTATACGGGACGGTTGAGCTAAGTGCGCTAATGTGATTAGCATGACTGTTGTAAGTAACAGCCAACTTTCCAGGACATAGACATGTCTTATATGAGCAGAAAGCTTAAATTCTTGTTAATCTAACTGCACTGTCCAAATTACAGTGGCTATTACAGTGAAACAATACCATGCTATTGTTTGAGGAGAGTGCACAACAATAAAAAATGTATCACGGCAACTGGTTTGATCCATTCACCTCTGAAGGTAAATAATGTACTTACATCCAGTAATCTTGGTCTGATTTGTCATCCTAAGGTTCCCAGAGATAAAATGTAGCATAGTTTTGTTTGATAAAATCCATTTTTATATTCAAATGTAGGAACTGGGTTCTACAGTTTGAACCCCTGCTGTCTCTGGCTTCACACCCACCCCGCCCGGCCATCTAGATGTGTGAAAGTCAGTGTATAAGCTAATGATCCATCATTTATGACAATCCTGGGAGTGTGTAAACTTACATTTTGTATTACCATATCATTTTTGTATGTTCTCTATAGTTATGCACTTGAAAATGTATCAATTGACCAATTCGGCACATTTGGGCAGACTTGATACAAAATAGTCCAGTATTGCAATGCTTCCCTGGATCAATCTGAAACTTTGCACACACACTGCTACAATCTAGTGGCCAAAATCTAAATTGCGCCTAAACTGCAAAATTATATTGTGGCCTTTCTCTTGCATTTCAAAAAAGATAAAAAAATAAAAACACTTTTTTGTTTGTTTGTATATCTATTACCAGATCTAATGTGTTATATTCGCCTAAATTAATTTCACATTTCCACAAACTTCAAATGTTTCCTTTCAAATGGTATCAAGAATATGCATATCCTTGCTACAGGCAGTTAGATTTGATTTTAGGCGAAAATTGGAAAAAAAGGTTCCGATCCTTAAGAGGTTAACAGAATCATAGCCTGATGAGCGCTGTTATGTTATTTATTTATTTTTGCTCAGAAAACTTGGGGGGCCAAATTAAACCACCGCCAGTTAGGGAACCCTGCCCTAACCCTAGCGCTAACGTTAGCCCTGCCCAGCTAAAGTTAGTGTTAGCCACCTAGCTAACGTTAGTTACAACAAATTAGAAATTGGAATTCTTTACATATCATACGTTTTGCCCATTCGTAACATATTGTGCCTTTTGCAAATTCGTAAAATATTGTACGAATTGCAATTCGTAACATATCATACAAATTGTAGTTCGTAACATATCATACGAAATGGATGATGGACGTCCACAAATTAATACATACCATGCGAGACGTAAAATATCATTCTAAATGTACAGTTAAATATCATCCTAAATGTACAGTCTCGGATTTACATACAGAATAATACGACATGCTCTGAGACCACGTTGCTTTTCCCACAACAGTCACATGCACATTTCAAGTCTAACTTTTACTTACATAGATGCGATCTTGTTTGAACCGTTGACTCAGGGATTCCAACAAACTTTGTTCATCCAAATCTGACAAGGCTGCCAAATCTTCGTGGAAGAGCCCCTCCATTTCTTTCTAAATCGTATTTATTCGATAAACTCGGATGCAATATTATATGTACTGGACTATACTGAAGCTTGATAAAAACAAATTAACTTTCCTTGGTTTTCTGGCATTAAAATCCAACCTATGCGCCTAAAAACGACAGCGGTGTTTTGTCGTAAAAAGGCGACTGTGACAGCAGTGCACACAGAGTAGCTGAGCTGAGTTTACTCTACTGCCAGGGGAGTACTGAAATATAAAAGGCTTGCAAAGCAAGGGTTCGCTCTCGGTCGTTGCTATACGGTATCCTTGGGACGTCCAACTCTAACGTCACCCCGTTGAAGTTGAAATGTATAATAGTTCAAGGAAAACACCCCAAAACGATACTTTAGTATTTGTTTCATTCGTCTACTGTTGAAATAGTCCAGTCATATAGCCTTGATTGGCGGCTAGCAGTAATATTTATATTTTACATGTACAGACTACCAAATACAACACAATTTCAAATAGTTTCCGAGCAGTCAAATTCCACAAACACAAACTGCACTATTTTGCTTGCCCAATAGGTGGCAGTATAAGATCATGTTGAGCTGCTGTATCAACATGTGCAGTCGACTAAACTGTTGCTACGCTCTCAACGAGGCTAGCTACAGAGGTGGAGGGCAGAGAGAAGGTTTTGGGCCGCATCAAAGTCAGTATTTATCACCATCTTTGGTCGAATTGACCTACCTTACAATGAACATTGAAAATGGATCGATTTGCAAAAACGAAATAATGACCAACCTGTCATCAGGTTCTGCCTCCATAGGCGTGACAATATATATATCCTCGAATATTATAGGCCGCAGCTCAGCTTCAGAATGTCATAGAGAGGAATCAATATATCCCCCTATGCATCGGAGTCACGTCTTTCTCGGGCATTTCAGAGCTTGTTTCTACCATAAGGCATCACCGAGTTAAGCATTCTTATAGAACGCTTGATATCATTTGGATAAACGTTTTATGCATTTTTTTCAAAATATGAAGCAAACAATAGATATCCCTTTTTGCCCTTTTCTTTAACAAAGGGTATGTGATACGCTCACTCAATTCGAGCCCTGGTTTTAACCTAACACAAGCCCTTCCCAGGCACCGAGGTATTTCATCAGTGCATGCGACAGTATTGGAGTATTTGGCTATACCGACATCTATGGGTAGCATAATTGTGTCTGTCAAACAGGTAGGCTTACCACTTATTTTTTGGAATAGGAAGAAATAGGCTCCAATTACATATGTAATTCTATGATTATGCCCATAAAAAATGTTGGAGGTCCCTTACCAGGCAGAAGGGAATTGTACTTTAACCCCTGCATCGGAGAGTTACAATGTTGCTATCACTTTGCAGCCAACTACCTATAGTAGGAAACCGAGTTTCTTATTAATAATATGCCACCTGTTATCCCACATGGCACGATCCCATAATTGTTACAATTACAATAAAAATAACACTATTATATAACATATTTAACATATAACAGAGAGAGAGAGAGAGAAAGAGAATGAGAGAGCGAGATTAGGATGGAGTCTATAAAAAAATAAAAAATAAAGTAAACAGGTGATAGATAATTGAGTAGTCTTACAAATTAATGCGAGTGTATGATCAACACTTATCTTTTATTCAAAGACAAGTTGATTCGTCTGGCCTTCCTGGCAGCAAAAGCATGCACTGCTTGTTGGAAGTCGTGCTCAATTGATATGGTGGCGAGTCCATTGAGTCTCTCTTGCCACTGTCACTGGGAGTGTGAGAAGAACTCTCAGGGCAACAAAGGCATTGGGATACAAGGAGGCCATTTGGTGTCTGGATATGTACTCCAGTGCGTCGAGTGGTTTTGCCTCACTGTCCAGTCTCCTGCTCAAGACTTTGAGCTCATTACACAGATATTTTGCATCGATGTCCCTGGAATCTCCGTACGTAAGGGCCCTCTCCAGTGTTGCGCAGTCCCTGGTAAGTGCTGCAGTGTCCATTTCCTTGATGGTGGGGATGTTGTACAGGATGCTGAAAATACTGCTGTGCTCTTCGAGCTGCGTAAAGCGCTCGTTGACGGACTGGATAGCAGAATCAAGAATCTGATTAAAGAAATGTACTTTGAATTTCTGCTGAGGGTCAGTCACAGGCTCATCCTCTCCCTTGTAGCCAAACAGACTCCTCTTCTTCTCTGCCAACTCTTTTGTGCTTGCTAAAGCGCCAGCGAAAGCTGCATTGGAGCGGTAGTCTTGGAGGAATACCCTGGTTGAGTTCAGTTGAGCCACTGCTAGTGACATTTTAAAACTCACTGCCTGCAAACTCTTACTGGTGATGTTCACTTTGAACAAGATGTCATACCAAACAACCACTGCGCACATGAAGCCAAAATTGTTCATCTTGGCGGCAATGCTGTTTGCCTCCAACCTTGTATAAATGTATACATCTCTTGGATGGTGTTAAAAAAACTCAGCTGCCTCCAAGCAACACGATGCTACATCAGAGAGAACCAGGTTCAGCAAGTGTGCGCTGCATGGCACAAAAAAGGCCCTCGGATTGATATCCTGCACTCTCTTTTGAACTCCGCTGTGCCTCCCCCACATATTCGCCCCGTTGTCATACCCCTTCCCTCTCATGTCCATTATGGCGATGCCATGTTTCTGTAGTTTTGAGATGAGCAACTCGGTCATGCCCTCCCCCATTGCGTCAAGCAGTTCACTAAACTCCAGGAAGTGCTCTCTCGTGCGCACTGACCCATCATCCTCGGTTGAAACAAAACGCACCACCATGGTCATCTGCTCTGTTTTGCTCTTGTCTGATGTCTTGACTGGTGTGCAGTCCAAAATTATAGAAAAATATCTGGCTGCTTTTAGATCACTGCACACTGTCTGCTGGATCTCTTGTGCCAGCATGTCAATGATTTCGTTCTGGATTATTTTACAGAGGTAGTGCACATGTGTTTATTTGGACTGTACTCTCCTTACATGCTCCTTCATGATTCCATCAAAGCTACCCAGCATTTCCACAAACTTCAGAAAGTTCCCATTATTTGGCTTGTTCAGCCTATTGGTGGTCCCACGTAACGCAATGTTCTGGGTGGCCATTACGCGTATCAGGGCTATGAGTCTCTCCGTCAATAGCCTGTTGGGCTTGGGCATCGATATTTTACTTGGACACCAGCCTGATCTCCAGCTCCTTCCACCTTTGGAAACTATCTAGGTGGTCATGCAACTTCTCATGCGAGCTGAGGAAGTGGCACAGATTCTTCCAGTCCCTGGTTCCATCCCTGACCAGCGCAGATTTGCACTCGTGTGTAAAAAGTTTGCAGCAAAAACAGAAGGCTGCATTGTTTTGCTTGGAATAGATAAGCCATGGTCTCTCCACTCTCTCCCCGTTCGCCATCCTCCTATTGTAGTGGGCCACCGAAAACTTTCATTGCCCCTCATCTCTTGGGAAATTCCCCTGTTTATCCTTATGTGGCCCAGCCTGCACTAACATATCCCGTAAAGATCCATTCATATATTTTGGCCACTCACCGGGATCTTTTATGTTTTTTGTCTGGGAGTTGGATTTAGCAGCAACACCACCACTGTCATCGGGGACGGGGAGTGACGAATCTGAGTCCGTGTCCAAGATAGTAGGGTCTTCGCCGGCATTGTTTGCAGGTGTGGCTAGGCCTGGTGCAACTACCTGTTCTTGTCCAGCCAGAGAGCTGTCATCATCAGTGGAAGTGCATGGCTCAGACGCCTCCGGTTTGTCCTCTTCGCTGCTAGAATCAGCGAATGGGGGCTCGTTGTTCTCGGCGAATGAATGGCATGTCCTCGGAGGCTTGTCATTCTCCACACCGTTTTTTTAAATATTCGCTTCCTGATAGTTTTTGTCTCTTAGACATGGGAGCAAATTGTTTCAAATCTTTATAGCTTACTTTTAGCTAAAATTATATCCACTAGAAGTAGCTAGCTAATATTAACAGGCTAGGTTAGGCTACTGCCTTAAACACTAATCATCTTCGTCATACACAAACATAAAAATCAAAACAATCATTTCATTGGCAGTGTCAGGGCGTGTGTAGGTGTAGTGTAGGAAATCAGATGCAGGACGCAGACGGTAGGTTCCAAATGCTGTATTCCGGCCCAAACACAGGCAACAGGGCAACTAAGCCCAACAGCTAAACTACGCACAAGGCGTATAGGCAAAATGCGCACAAACAGGTGCGACAAAATGAAGTAGTGCACGAAACAAGTGCAATCGAGCTCCAGCGCAGTGGAGAGAATATGCTCAACCGAGCAAACACAACACTGACGAAAAACAATCATACACAACACATGACAAACACAACTAGAAACTTATAGGACACTAATCACGTAAAACAGAAACAGGTGTGACACAAACAGACAAAAGCAAACGAACATGAAACATCTATCGGTGGCATCTAGAATTCCGGAGACGACGAGCGCCGAAGCCTGCCCGAACAAGGAGGAGAGGCAGCCTCGGCCGAAACCGTGACAGTATCCCCCCCTTGACGCGCGGCTCCAGACGCGCGCCGACTCCGGCCTCGGGGACGGCCAGGGGGACGCGGCGCAGGGCGCGTCGGATGCCTCCGATGGAACTCCGTCAGAAGCGATGGGTCCAACACGTCTCTCCTCGGCACCCAGCACCGCTCCTCCGGACCGTACCCCTCCCACTCCACTAGATACTGGAGACCCCCCATCCGACGTCTCGAATCCAAGATGGATCTCACGGAGTACGCCGGTGCCCCCTCGATGTCCAACGGGGGCGGAGGAGTCTCCAAGATCTCATCGTCTTGGAGTGGGCCCGCTACCACCGGCCTGAGAAGGGACACATGGAACGAGGGGTTAACACACTTATACTCCACAGGTAGCTGTAATCTATAACAAACCTCGTTCAACCTCCTCAGGACTTTAAATGGCCCTACAAACCGCCGACCCAGTTTCCGACAGGGCAGGCGGAGGGGCAGGTTTCTGGTAGAGAGCCAGACTCGATCACCAGGTGCGTATACCGGTGCCTCACTGCGGTGGAGATCAGCGCTCGCCTTCTGACGTCGGAGGGCCCGCTGCAGGTGGACGTGTGCAGCGTTCCAAGTCTCCTCCGAGCGCCGCGCCCACTCATCCACCGCAGGAGCCTCGATCTGGCTCTGCTGCCAGGGTGCCAGAACCGGCTGGTAACCTAACACACATTGAAATGGGGTTAGGTTCGTGGAGGAATGGCGTAGGGAATTCTGGGCCATCTCGGCCCAGGGAACGTACCTTGACCACTCCTCCGGCCGGTCCTGGCAGTATGTTCTGAGAAACCTACCCACATCCTGGTTTACGCGTTCCACCTGCCCATTGCTCTCCGGGTGGTAGCCCGAGGTGAGACTCACCGAGACCCCCAACCGCTCCATAAACGCTCTCCAGACCCTGGAGGTGAATTGGGGACCCCGATCAGCCACAATGTCCTCGGGCACCCCGTAGTGCCGGAACACATGGGTAAACAGTGCCTCGGCGGTTTGCAGGGCCGTAGGAAGACCCGGCATGGGGAGCAAACGACAGGCCTTAGAGAACCGGTCCACAACGACCAGGATGGTGGTATTCCCTTGGGAGAGGGGAAGATCTGTTATAAAGTCCACTGAGAGGTGGGACCATGGCCGTTGTGGAACGGGCAGGGGTAGCAACTTACCCCTAGGTAAATGTCTAGGCGCCTTACACTGGGCGCACACCGAGCAAGAGGAAACATAAACCCTCACATCCCTAGCCAACGTGGGCCACCAGTACTTGGCACTAAGACAGTGCACTGTCCGGCCGATACCCGGATGTCCAGAGGAGGGTGACGTGTGAGCCCAATAAATCAATCGATCCCGAACCTCGAGCGGAACGTACTTCCGACCCTCCGGGCATTGTGATGGACTAGGGTCGGTGCGTAACGCCCGCTCGAGTTCAGCATCGATCTCCCACACTACCGGCGCCACCAGACACGACGCAGGCAGTATGGGAGTGGGCTCCACGGACCTCTCCTCCGCGTCATACCGCCGAGACAGCGCATCTGCCTTGCCATTCTGTGACCCAGGGATGTACGTGATCTTAAACGTAAACCTGGTCAAGAACATACTCCATCTTGCCTGGCGAGGGTTCAGCCTCCTCGCCGCTCGGATGTACTCCAAGTTACGGTGGTCCGTCAAAATGAGGAAAGGGTGTTGAGCCCCCTCAAGCCAGTGCCTCCACACCTTTAGAGCCTGTACCACGGCTAACAGCTCCCTGTCCCCTACGTCATAGTTCCGCTCCGCCGGACTGAGCTTCTTAGAGTAAAAAGCACAGGGGCGGAGTTTAGGTGGCGCGCCAGATCGTTGTGAAAGCACGGCTCCTAACCCGGCCTCCGACGCGTCCACCTCTACTTGGAACGGCAAAGAGGGATCCGGGTGCGCCAGCACTGGGGCCGAGGTAAACAGGTCCTTCAGCCTCCCAAACGCCCTGTCCGCCTCGGCCGACCACTGCAGACGCACCGGACCCCCCTTCAACAGAGACGTGATGGGAGCTGCCACCTGTCCAAACCCCCGGATAAACCTCCTGTAGTAATTTGCAAACCCCAAGAACTGCTGCACCTCCTTCACAGTGGTTGGTGTTTGCCAATTACGCACGGCCGACACTCGATCTACCTCCATCCTCACCCCTGACGCAGACAACTGATAACCCAAAAAGGAGACCGACTCCTGGAAAAACAGACACTTCTCTGCCTTCACATACAGGTCGTGCTCCACCAGCCTCCGCAACACCTTGCGCACCAGGGCTACATGCTCGACACGGGTAGGTGAGTACACGAGAATGTCATCAATGTACACCACCACCCCCTGCCCCTGCATGTCCCTGAAGATCTCATCCACAAATGATTGGAAAACTGATGGAGCGTTCATCAACCCGTATGGCATGACCAGATACTCGTAATGGCCCGAGGTGGTACTAAAGGCTGTTTTCCATTCATCGTTCTCCCTGATGCGCACCAAGTTGTACGCGCTCCTGAGATCTAGTTTCGTGAAGAAACGCGCCCCATGCAACGACTCAGTCATGGTCGCAATCAGCGGGAGTGGATAACTATACTTCACCGTAATCTGATTGAGACCACGGTAATCGATGCATGGGCGCAAACCACCATCCTTTTTCTTCACGAAAAAGAAACTCGAGGACGCGGGGGAAGTGGACGGCCGTATGTATCCTTGTCTCAGTGATTCGTCTATGTAAATCTCCATAGCTTTCTTCTCCTCCTGAGACAGAGGATACACATGGCTCCGTGGGAGCGCAGCTCCTGCCTGGAGGTTTATCGCACAATCCCCCTGCCTATGGGGTGGCAACTGCGTCGCCCTCGCCTTACTAAACGCAATAGCCAAATCCCCATACTCAGGTGGAATGTGCAATGCGGGCACCTGGTTTGGACTCTCCACCGAGGTAGCCCCTACGGAAACGCCCAAACATCTACCCACACACTGAGCAGACCACTCCATCAGAGCCCTCTCCTGCCACGAAATCACTGGGTTATGGGTACTCAACCAGGGCATTCCCAGCACCACCGGATACGCAGGAGAGTCAATCAGGAACAGCTGAATCATCTCCTGATGACCCCCCTGCGCACACATCCTAAATGGCGCCGTGACCTCCCTGATCAAGCCCGTACCCAACGGACGACTATCTAGGGCGTGAACGGGAAAAGGAACATCAACAGGAATGAGGGGAATCCCTAACGCTAAACAAAACTTTTTATCAATAAAATTCCCAGCTGCGCCTGAATCTACCAGCGCCTTATGCTGGGCATGAGGTGCTACCTGTGGAAAACATACAGGCATACAAAAATGGGCAACAGAGAGCTCTGGGTGAGTGGGGCGCCTACTCACCTGGAGGGAATCCCCAGTGCGGGGCCTGTCGTCATCTCCCCTAGGAGGCCATCCCCAGCACCTAGCCGCGGTGTGTCCTCCCCGGCCACAGTTGGTGCAGTGGATGGACCCCCTAGCCTGCCGACTCCTCCTCTCTCTAGCGCCAGCGCCCCCGAGCTCCATGGGACAAGGCTCGGAGGCGCTGGAGGGTGGAATGGACGGACCCTCCGCAAGACGTCCGCGGGTAGCCAGCAGGGTATCCAGCCTGATGGACATATCCACCAGCTGGTCGAAGGTGAGACTGGCGTCCCTGCAAGCCAGCTCCCGACGGACGTCCTCTCGTAGGCTGCATCGGTATAGATCGATGAGGGCCCGATCATTCCACCCTGCATCTGCCGCCAGAGTACGGAATTCGAGTGCGAATTCCTGGGCACTTCTCCTCCCCTGTCGGAGGAAGACCAGACGCTCCCCCGCCGCTTTCCCCTCCGGGGGATGGTCAAACACCGCCCTGAAGCGGCGGGAGAACTCAGTGTACGTAATGGTCGTGGCGTCTATCTTCCTCCACTCCGCGTTGGCCCACTCCAACGCTTTTCCGGCCAGGCAGGAGATCAGAGCGGACACGCTCTCGTGCCCTGAAGGTGCCGGGTGCACGGTGGCCAGGTATAGCTCGACCTGGAGCAGGAATCCCTGACACCCAGCCGCTGTCCCGTCGTAAGCCCTCGGGAGAGATAGTCGGACTCCTCGAGGTTCCGGTGCTGGAACGGGCGGGCTGGCCGATGGTGCTGGCAGGGCGGGCGGTGGTGGAGGCGAACCCCAGCCTCGGAGTGTGGTAATCACCTCCTGCAGGGCGTTCCCCATCTGCAGGAGTTGCTCCTGCTGATCCCGAACCTGGGCTTCCAGTCTTGTCTGGGCTGCTTCGGCTCCTGCTGATTCCATGGTTGGTGTATGATTCTGTCAGGGCGTGTGTAGGTGTAGTGTAGGAAATCAGATGCAGGACGCAGACGGTAGGTTCCAAATGCTGTATTCCGGCCCAAACACAGGCAACAGGGCAACTAAGCCCAACAGCTAAACTACGCACAAGGCGTATAGGCAAAATGCGCACAAACAGGTGCGACAAAATGAAGTAGTGCACGAAACAAGTGCAATCGAGCTCCAGCGCAGTGGAGAGAATATGCTCAACCGAGCAAACACAACACTGACGAAAAACAATCATACACAACACATGACAAACACAACTAGAAACTTATAGGACACTAATCACGTAAAACAGAAACAGGTGTGACACAAACAGACAAAAGCAAACGAACATGAAACATCTATCGGTGGCAGCTAGAATTCCGGAGACGACGAGCGCCGAAGCCTGCCCGAACAAGGAGGAGAGGCAGCCTCGGCCGAAACCGTGACAGGCAGATTCATTTTCATTAATGTTTCACAATTGGATAATCCCATATAAACACACACATCACCATAGCTACCAAGGATAGTGGGAGTGAACTTCGGGAGAAGCGGGAATGGGGTGAGGGCGGGAACTGCAGCAACGCTATGAGCTGGTGGCTGGGGTGCCGTCGGCAGTGTAGCAGCCGATCAGGGGCGCCGGAGGGTGGCAGCCAATTGTCAAAATGCCGCCCCAAATTCAAGTGCCGCAATAGGCGGCTGCCTAATCTTGCCTAATGGGAGGGCCAGCCCTGCCTGTCACTGTGACTGAACATGACATTGAGGAGGGTGAGCATGAGGAAGCTAGTGGACCCGCACACACAGTTAGACAGAACAACCTCTGCTGTAGAGAAATCGACAGAGGCAACATATGAGATTGCATGGATTACCGATGCAGACACAGGGAAAAAGTGCTTTTTGTCTTCAGCAGGAATAATGTATGCTGACTTCAGTAACAAATATGCAATTCTAAAACAAATTAAAGGACTGCAACTATCAGACACAACCATAATAAGAAGGGTTGAAGAAATAGGAAAATACACTAGTAAGGAGCTAAACGAGGATATATCAGCAGCTCCGTGTTTCAGCATAGCATAGGACGAAAGCACAGATGTTTGTGACATCGCTCAGTTATGCATATGTGACTCAGGAAACTTCAGGAAACTAGGAGTATTACATTACTACTTCACAGGAGAGCCATTTGAACATAAACTTTATTTCAAAAATCCAAGTGTGTTTTTTGGCAGAAAGTGAACTTTCATGTGCCTCAATAACAAACTTGTATGCCATCTGTAAATACGAATACAATTGTTAAATTATGAGCCTAGTTGGTTTAGCCACAGAAAAAGACAGCAACCTTCCCGCTAGCCATGATTGGCTGAGATAATGAGTGGGCTGGATGGACATGCCGAGAGATGAGTTCGGATTGGTCTGCCATGTTGCACTCTTCTGTCTATTTGAGCTGGTCAGTATGTGTAGGTAATCCTGTCTAACGTGGCTTTAAAAATATATATTGCGTAGTAGAACTGCATAAGTGTTGCTCTCCACTTTCTGTAGGACTGAGTTTTGAAATCAGTGGAATTAGAGTATGATAGCGAAGGAGATGGAGAAAACACCTGTCTCCGGATTACATCTTCAAACTAAGAGCAACCATGGCATCCGTGAAAGAGAGTGACAAGCATCCGTCCATGTATACGGGTAAGAGTCTAGCTAGCTACATTTTCATATATTATACATTTCTAATTTTGTCAGAAAGTAGTTTTCATTTCAAGTTAAAGTGTACTGTTAGCTAGCTAGCTAACGTTAGCTGGCTGGCTCGCTAGCTAACGTTACGTGTATGAACTGTGTAGTAATATTATTCGAATCTCAGAGCCATTTGCTTTGCTAGTTATAACCTAATGTTAGCTAGCTAACATTGAACCTGGTTGGTTAGCTACCTGCAGATTAATGGGATTATGGTTAATTGTTTAGCTAGCTAGCTACATGTCTTAACAAAAGACTCCACTTTGCAAGTAACCATTTCAATAGAATGTTAACGATGTCACTGCGAAAACTGTTGATAGACTTGGCAGGTAAATTCGTTCTGGCTATCTACTCCGATTTCAGAGCACTCTTGTCTGAGTGTGCCAGAGCGCAGAATAACTGACAAATTTACGAACGCTCAACACCCGTTGAATATGACCAGTGTCAGTAAACGTTGGCAAAAAAGCGCAAATTGTTGCCAGCAGCATAGTTGCCGTCACCAACGCTCTGGATAACATAAAAACAGCTTAACCAGCTCTGCTAGGGCGAGTAAAATGGTCAGTGAGCTGTTCTCTCATTTGTGTCTGCCACCATTAGCCAGTTAGCTTGGGTGCTTGACTGCTGTTGTTAGGACAGAACGCTCGGATCAACCCTTAAAGAGATGGGTGGGGCTAAAGCTTAACAGGGTGTGAACGATGCTGAATTGATGTAAACAAAGAAGGGCTCTCCAGTAGTAGTACCAAAACATTCAAAGGCCATTTTCTCAAAAGTGAGGTTACAAGTTTATCAACTTTCAAAGCAGAATTACTTTCCCCTTGTTCCTCAACTGTAGTGTATGATATACAATTTTCTACCGATGAGTCTCTACTTTTATCTAATGTAAAAAACACAATTTCCAAATGTTGCTACATAAGACCAATTTGAGCCGGTCGGTCACATATGTGTCCGGTTCATGAAAGATTAATCTTATCGGGAAGAACTGTTGTTCTTATTACCACTGCAAGAGTCAAGAGCACTGAATCATCGCCAGTTTCGTGAACTGCTGCAGGAGTATGAGACAGAATACAGTGACTTGGTGATGCACAATGAGGTGAGATGGTTATCTCGTGGCAGAGTACTTGAGCGTTTTTTGAGTCTCCTCCCCCAAATCCCCAAATTCCTCTCAACCAAGGGGAGAGACGAGCCAGACTTGGAGAATCCTGAGTGGATAATAAAGCTGGCCACATTGACTGACATTATATTTTACATTTTAGTCATCACTTACCATCTGAATACACTGAATCTGTCACGATCGCTGACAGATGCGGACCAAGGCGCAGCGTGATAGACGTACATACTTTTATTAAGTGTACACAACACGAACAAAAACAACAAAACGATACGTGAAGTCCTAGGTAATACAACAAACCATACGGAACAAGATCCCACAAAACTAAAATGCCAAAAGGCTGCCTAAGTATGGTCCCCAATCAGAGACAACGAGCTACAGCTGTCTCTGATTGGGAACCACCCTGGCCAACATAGAAATAAACGATCTAGAACAAAACCCATAGAAAACTAAACATAACAAGTCCACACCCTGGCTCAACATCTAAGAGTCCCCAGAGCCAGGGCGTGACAGTACCCCCCCCCCCCCCCACCAAAAGCGCGGACTGCGACCGCGCCAACCAAACACAACAGGGGAGGGGCCGGGTGGGCATTCCGCCTCGGAGGCGGATCCGGCTCCAGGCGTGACCACCACTCTCCCTCTACCCCCCCGTAGCGCCCCTGGTCTGGTCCCGCTGGCCGGAGCTGGACTGGACACCGGTGAAGCGGATTGCTCTGGCTCCGGAGTGGAGCAGCTGACCGGTGCCGGACCAGGCACCGGTGGAACAGGCACGGACCGTGCCGGACTGACGACGCGCACCACTGGCTTGGTGCGGGGAGCAGGAACGGGCCGGACCGGGCTGGCGACGCGCACCACAGGCTTGATGCGAGGAGCAGGAACAGGCCGGGCCGGACTGGCGACACGCACCACAGGCTTGGTGCGGGGGACAGGAACAGGCCGGACCGGGCTGGCGACGCGCACCACAGGCTTGGTGCGAGGGACAGAAACAGGCCGGACCGGGCTGGTGATGCGCACCACTGCCTTGGTGCGGGGAGCAGGACCACCACTCTCCCTCTACCCCCCCCGTAGCGCCCCTGGTCTGGTCTGGCCCCGCTGGCCGGAGCTGGACTGGACACCGGTGGAGCGGATTGCTCTGGCTCCGGAGTGGAGCAGCTGACCGGTGCCGGACCAGGCACCGGTGGAACAGGCACGGACTGTGCCGGACTGACGACGCGCACCACTGGCTTGGTGCGGGGAGCAGGAACGGGCTGGCGACGCGCACCACAGGCTTGATGCGAGGAGCAGGAACAGGCCGGGCCGGACTGGCGACACGCACCACAGGCTTGGTGCGGGGGACAGGAACAGGCCGGACCGGGCTGGCGACGCGCACCACAGGCTTGGTGCGAGGGACAGGAACAGGCCGGACCGGGCTGGTGACACGCACCACTGCCTTGGTGCGGGGAGCAGGACCACCACTCTCCCTCTACCCCCCCGTAGCGCCCCTGGTCTGGTCTGGCCCCGCTGGCCGGAGCTGGACTGGACACCGGTGGAGCGGATTGCTCTGGCTCCGGAGTGGAGCAGCTGACCGGTGCCGGACCAGGCACCGGTGGAACAGGCACGGATCGTGCCGGACTGACGACGCGCACCACTGGCTTGGTGCGGGGAGCAGGAACGGGCCGGACCGGGCTGGCGACGCGCACCACTGGCTTGGTGCGGGGAGCAGGAACGGGCCAGACCGGGCTGACGACGCGCACCACTGGCTTGGTGCGGGGAGCAGGAACGGGCCGGACCGGGCTGACGACGCGCACCACTGGCTTGGTGCGGGGAGCAGGCACGGGCCGGGCCGACGACGCGCACCACTGGCTTGGTGCGGGGAGCAGGAACAGGCCGGACCGGGCTGACGACGCGCACCACTGGCTTGGTGCGGGGAGCAGGAACGGGCCGGACCGGGCTGACGACGCGCACCACTGGCTTGGTGCGGGGAGCAGGAACGGGCCAGGCCGACGACGCGCACCACTGGCTTGGTGCGGGGAGCAGGAACAGGCCGGACCGGGCTGACGACGCGCACCACTGGCTTGGTGCGGGGAGCAGGAACGGGCCGGACCGGGCTGACGATGCGCACCACTGGCTTGGTGCAGGGAGCAGGAACAGGCCGGACCGGGCTGACGACGCGCACCACAGTCTTGGTGCGAGGGACAGGAACAGGCCGGGCTGGACTGTGGAGACGGACTGGAGGTCTAGAGCGGAGAGCTGACACAACCCGTCCTGGCTGAATGCCTATTTCCACACAATCTGTGTGAGGCATCAGCACAGGACGTACAGGGCTGTGCACTCGTACTGGCACTACAGCACGTGGCACTGGCGCAGGATATCCGGGACCGAGGAGGGGTACTGGAGGCCACGAGCGTTGAGCCAGCACACTCCGTCCTGGCTGCATGCCCACCTTAGCACGACACGTGCGTGGTGCTAGCACAGGACGTACAGGACTGTGCCGGAACACTCGCGGCACAGTACGTGGCTCCGCATACCACGGAACCTGCCCAGTCTCACGCTGCCTAGCCTGAGTACGGGGAGTTGGCTCTGCTCTACCTCTAGGCTCCGCCAACCACCCTTCCAGCCCCCCAAACCTGGTGGCCTCCTCTCCTAGATCGCCGATGCGCCCTGTAGCTGCCTCCAGCAGCCCCGTCGTCCACGCCGTGTGCCCCCCCCAAAAAAAATTACTTGGGGTTGCCTCTCGCGTGTCCGTCGTCGGCACGGTTGGCGCCGTTTCTCCTCTCCTGCCTGGGCATTTATTTTTGCCCATGGCCCTCTGCCCGCGAATATGTCCTCCCAAGACCACCATTCGCCCACCTGGGACATCGCCAACTTCTCCTGTTTGGCACGCTTCTTGGTCCTCTGGTGGTG